ACGGTCAACCAAGGGCAAGAAGTTGGAGGCGTTGACGATATCCAGGTTCACCACCAACGTCACTCCGCCCTGGGACAGTACCTGCGTCGACAGTGTACGAACGTGAAGGGTCGCGTCCACTGTCGACCGCGCCTGCCGGAAGCCGTACTGGTCTTCCGACAGGTCAGGCCCTACTCGCGACAGATGCTCGCTGAGCCGTTCGGCAAGTGTTCTTTCAAACAACTTGCCGGCCTCGTCCAGCAAGCATATGGGTCGGTATGCAGAGGGAGAGTCTGCGGTTCGACTTTCCTTCTTTATAAGGACCATCCTCGCCGACTTCCAGCCGGACGGGAATACATCGCTCCGGAGACAATTGGTGAACAGCCGTCTGATGTGGTTCCCTAGTCCGGGACACCATCCGGGCCAGGCGCAGGGTTCCGAGCACCGAGATGCCTCACGGCTCGATCCAGCTCCTCATCTGTCATGCCGAAATCGTCAGACCAAGTGTCCTCATCCATCACCGACACTTGTCCCGACGACCACCCTCTCCACGAACGCAGGATCGAGGCTTGTCGTCAACGGAGGGACCCATGGCCGGAGCTTGCCCATAACAATTTTGTATGGCCGCCCCCATGGATCCCTCTGCAGTTCCTCGAGGCTCTCCGACCATACCCAGTTTAACCTGTCAAACTGACGTGACATTTTGTAATCAAAGAAAAAATGATCGAGAATATTTAAAATGATTCGTAGGTAGCCTAGTAAATCGTTTATTTAATAAATTACGTTTGAAGTGATAGCTGGCTCCGTCATACGTAACATAATATCAGTTCTAAAACCCTAAAAAAACCATTGTCTTTTGGCCCAGTTTCTGTAAGTATTTGTCGTAATAACGTAAATCAGGACGACGTGTTCATGTGGCGTACCGGGTGTGGCGTTCCACAGGGGTCCGTGTTGGGCCCTTGTTGGACTGTTGGCTTTGACTAGCTTCTGCGCGGACCGTTCCTTAGCGAAACGAGGGCGGTCTGCTATGCAGATGACTTCCTCGTCACTGCCCGGGGTAGGACTTATGAAAAAACCGCGCGATTGAGCACCGTCGTGAGGTCGTTGGTAATCATGAGGATCCATCTGCTAGGCGTAAGGGTCTACAGAAACTGGAGTCCCTCCGAAATTACGGCCCGCGCAAAGTTCCCCCTAGAGAGACGAGACGACCCCGTCAAGTTTTTCTACAGCTTTTGTCCTACTAAATCCGAGTTACCGATAAGCCTCTTTGTACGTTTTTCAATGACAAAATCCAAAGTGGTCAGTTGATATTTATTATATTTAGCAGATCTGGAGCAGCAGTACTAAATACGCGTCGAGTCTTGTGCTTGGCATAGCTATAAAACCCCGGTGTGAAGTAAAGCCTGTATTCCGAGTTGTTGAATATGATCAGCTATCGGTATGAATATATGTCAAATCATCTCTAAAATCTCAAAGAGTCGGAGTCAGGTAAAAGGTACTTCGTTTTGAAGAGAATAATCGAAACAAGCATGCCCGAAAAAGCCGGGAATCATAACTGATAAGTACCAGACAAAGAATTGGGGACAGTACGGAATTCTGATGAACTCCAACGTCAATCGCCCTTTGCACAAGAAATACGAGATCCATTTGCAATGGGCAGCGAAAAGATCATACGATTCTCCGTTGACATTGTTATTATACTTTCTTAGAACCAAACAAATAATTTGATTATAGAGTATTTAAAATTATAAAATTGGTACTATGATCTACCGGGAAACACAATTTCGCTTTTGACGATGTCAAGTGATTACACCCATATTAAGTATTTAATTATTTAAATCACAAAGATAAATAGTTACACTGAACACAAAAGAAGGCTGTTTATTTAAACGTTTACCAAATATCGTTCGCCTGTGACATCAAAACAATAGTTTAAGTAATTAGTGAAATAAGTGAAACCCTCAATCTTAAAGGACATTTTATAAAGTAAGATTTCTAATATATCTTGATAAAGGAACATTTTGAATGATTTTGAGTGATAACATTATCAAGAAATACATTAAGAGGTTAATATTAATTTATTTTGGATAATTATGCACATTCTTGTTTATTACGTGTAATTTTACTCTCGTTTGTTCTCCAGCTTTCTTAGTAAAATATGTACCTTTATAAATAAAACCAGATGTTAGTACTGAAATGTTAGGGTACGTATAATAGATTTAACATCTTATATAACTAGGCTAAATTTGGTCTAACCCTAGGATTCTCTTAATCAAGGGTTGTGCATACCAAATCCTGGTAACTTAGTTTTGCGAGAAACAAATGAAACAGCTATAAAACTTATTTACGATGTCTGAGTTTCCTCTTTACTCCAAGCTCAAGTCATAGTGAAGGAATATTTTGGAGCATTTCGTACTATAAAATTAATCGCCCGATAAACGACACTGTTTATTTTTCTATAACTATGTAAACCCTTGCTTCAATTTTTTTTTGTTTAGTTGTATGAATTTGCCTATTATTCTATAAGTCTTTTGAACAAAACGCATAAGCTCACTGGCAATGACTCAACTTTTACAAAAATAAGGAATAAAGAATAAATTGTTTTTAATAGAAAGTAGAGCTCCTTGTGAAAGCGTTTGTCCTGCAAAGTACTGCCACCTAACTTATTTCTGTCGCCAAGCAGTAATGTTAGCATTGCTGCATCTCAGTTTTGAAGAGTAAGGATGCTGGTGAAATACTGGCACATGGAACTTGTCAACTTCTATCTCAACCCCTAGAGTTTCTTGCTCATTCTTCTCAGGGGAATCTGCCTTACGAATGAGCGGTAGAGTTTAACTATTGTGACGATTTCAAGTGTAATAATGCTTACCTATGAAATAAAGATTATTTTGAATTTGAATTTGAATTTGAAAAAGGTGACGGGCGCGGTGGCTGTGCCCCCTTCGAATTTCTGCGTTTTAAATTTCTGAGTGGCACTGCAACTGCTATGGACAGGCGTAAAGAAATGAAGAAAAAAGATCCCATTTCTATCTTGAGATTGCTCAATGCAATGGAGAAGTTAGAGCATGAATACGAACAGTCGGGATATTCAACAGACATGGAAACACAGCAGGAGTACGTGGATGATGACTATTCGATTCAAACACAATTAGAACTTTTGCATGAAGAGATTTGCGTCGAAAAGAAAAACTTCGACGATAAATTACACATAACTTTTGTTTTATATTTTGAGAGAGATTGTACTTTATTATTTAAGTCAAGCAAATTTGCCTACAGGGTGTTAATACTGGTTGAATATGACCACCAATACAAACAACTCTCATTGGTCATATCAGTATGACAAGCTAGTATATATGACCACCAATAAACGGCCGTGTCGCGTTGCCACTAGGCACACAGCTTGTTCATCCCGTCACACGTGGACTGGCTCTGAAGACGTTCTGGCGCTGTCTGTCAGAGCTCGCACCGGTTTCGGTTTACCCCTCCCCTCTCTGCGTCTCCGACGTCATTCGAATTTAACCAACTTTGTCTATGGTAAATTTTGGTTTTAATGTTTTGTAATCAATTATTATTTAAAAATATAATATATATTTGTGAAGAAATTATTTGTGTTCTATTTTTAATACTGTTAAATGTATTAAACAATTTACTTATTCAAAAATAATTTAACAACGTTGTAACGTTCCGTTACAACATGGTACCATAAAAAAATAAAAAACTTAATGATATCAACAGCTAAACTCTTAAATCATCAAGTGCAAGTTTAATTATTAATAAAGGTATTAAAATTATAGTTTTATTTATTTAAGATACCTGTAGCACAGACAGCAAAGTATAAATAAGTATGACACGTAATAAAGATAACAACACAATAATAACGTGACATTTCCTAATCGTCTTTTAAAACTATGTTAAATAATAAATTGGCATTTTTTTCATTTACAAAGGACAACAAAATGGCGAACATTATGTAGATCTTGAGTTAAAGGGAGGATATAAATTTCTATCCCTACTTATAGAGGGATGCCAGTGATGCGTAAAGACTGACATGATTAATACGAGGTCGGCTTGGTTGTTTATTGCTGAGTCTCTGCAAAGATATTGTATTTGCAGTATGATTTACTGGAACAACATTGTCAGTGTAGGTGTTTGCGATCGATTATTCTTATTTTGTATATTACATTATGTGTAAGTTGACATAATACGAATCAAATTATGAAAACTTTTCGTCCCTTATATAACGACAGCCAGAAGAGTTGTTGGTATTAGATCATGGATGATTAACAATAGAACTATAATAGGGATACACACTAAACTCAATATAAAGTTAACTCAAGTTAATTTGGAAAAGATTGTCCCTTTCAAAAATGAACCTGAACTTCCAGCGTTTTTGCGTGATCCTGATGCTACAAATGAAGCTTTTCTCGATATTCTTGATAATAATATGCAAGTCGAACCTAAATTGATTGTCATAGGTATATCTCAGCAACTTTTAGATTAACCTCAGTACATGAAAACGAAGTAACAACATATTTTAAGTAACAAGTCAAATGCCACTGAAGTGGATACAATGAAGATGGAAATGATTATAATAACCCTGCCAAGAACTTTAAATGTCTTAACAGCCATCATAAATAAATCCATTGACTATTTTTGGACAACTGCCACTATTTGTCCGGTTCCTAAAAATAATAATCCCGCTAGTGTGAAAGACCTGAGACCTATTAATATTTTACCCTACTTAACTAAAATCTTAGAGAAGGCAGGCAGTCCATTGTCAACTCAGGTGCTATTGCGAAGTAAATTATATACTTCCGTCATTTCAATCTGGATTTCGCAAGCAGCGGGGCACTACAACAACTCTTATTGATGTAGTTGATAACATACTCGCTTCTCAAAACATTGGTAGGGGTTCGATTTAATGTTTGCAGGTCTTAATTCCATTAATACTCAAATGCTACTTTCAAAAATGTCTTACTATGGTCTTGACCACAACTACATTATCTTAGTTTAGTAGTTACCTTAACGGACATCATCAAACTCTGATTGTACCAACATCGAATCAGGCCTCCACACAATCCGGAAAGGCGTCCTCATTCTCGGACCTTTAATATAAGTTTCTATTAGTTTTTTCACAGTGTAATTATCATCACAAAATAAGGACGACCGCTTTTCGCGGCGATTTCAGGTATCGCGCTTGTGAATGCTGAAATAATATTCCTTCTCCATTGTGTGACATCAAGCATAAAATATGATTTAAGCGTGAATATATAAAAAAAAATTGTTTGAACAGATATATGCCGCTAGACATTTATATTTCTTTTGGTACCTGTAAATCTAATATTTTGGAATTACCGAATAAATATTAGTTCATGTTTGGTGACTATTGTTATAATTTAAAATTATATTTTGTAACAATAACTTACATTATTTATACTACTTACACTAGTTACATTTGTTACATTGGTACTAACCACTTTCAATCGTAATTAATATAATTGATACATACCTATATAATTTTAGAGTTAAGTATATACATATGTATTTGCATGTGATGCACTTTGGTGGTTGCTACTACTTACTAGGTTGATGGCTCATCATATTATGGTACTGGCGGAAAATTAGCACTGTTTGACTTTTCACGGTCTACAGAATTTATGTTGAGTCAGGGCCATTTCAGCACAAACTGTGGCAAATAAGTATAACCAATACAAAATGTTGTTTTTCTCTATATGTATGAGTTTATATCAATGTGTATTTTATGTAATAATTGTAATTGTTTGTTTTTGCTTGTATTTGTGCTGGATAAACGTTTTATCTATCTCTCTAAACACAATTTTTCTGGTGTTGTCGCGGCAATGTCACCACAAGGTGATTCCATGCGTAGCAACTCTTTATATACTTACGCCACAAAGACAAAAGATTACAATCAACAAAACACGTAAATTTGTTTGGTGAATTTCATTTTGCTTGAAGCTTAAAAATTATTTTGGTAATTATTAAAACAAATGTTTATTTCAGCATTTCTTTGAAATCAACGTGACAAGTGACACGTTTAAAATTAAAATATAAGCAAGTTTATTTTATTAAAATGGACGGGGTATGTCCGTTACCCACTACCGGTACTTCTTCTCAAATTTTTGCAAATGCTTTACAATTTTTCGCTAGTACACAATGTCTCATTACGGAAAACTGGCCTCTAGACGCCGAGATCCCAAGTGAGTAAATTTAGAAATGATGATTATCAATTTTATTTCTGACAGTTGTATCTTAATGCTACAGATAATGTACTTTAAAAAAATATGCACGTATTACAAGTTATGTACTAATAATTCCAAATTTTACTTTACAGACCACGCACTGTTTGATTTTATAATAGTGGGGGCAGGTTCGGCCGGTTGTGTGCTTGCTAATCGTCTCAGTGAAGTGGAAAAGTGGAAGGTACTGCTCATAGAAGCAGGGGATGATCCACCAGTTGAAAGTATTGTAAGTAAATTTGTTGATACAACTTCTGTAACAAAAATGTGACTGCTAAAAAATTTAAGATGGAGTTAAACGATTTAATATTTTATCTGTTCGTGTTTTGATTATATCACTGCACAATTTATTATTTTTCGTTACAGATACCCGCATTGAACAGAGGCATATTTGGTACAAAATACGACTGGCAATATTATACTGCCAAGAATAATCGAACAAATAAAGCAAATGTTAATGAAACTGTTTACTGGCCAAGAGGAAAAATGCTTGGAGGCAGTAGCGGAATCAATGCTATGTTGTACGTCCATGGAAATGACTATGATTACAAATTATGGTACGATCAGGGAAATAAAGAATGGCACCCAAACATTGTACGTCGATATTTTAAGAAAGCCGAGAAACTACAAGCTCAGCAATTATTAAAAGATACAAGAATTGCAGAAAACTATGGACGGCATGGACCATTAAATATAGATATCTTCAACAGTACAATTAGGACTATTACTGAAAATATCGTGGGTTCTTGGAATGAAATTGGTATTAAAAAAGTTCCTGATTTAAATACGGCAAACGTTTTAGGCTCGGGCATAATTACAGCAACAGTTTCATATGGTCAGCGTGTTAGTACAGCTTCAGCATATCTCAATACTGCACGCAACAGACCTAACCTTCACGTAATAAAGAATAGTTTTGTTACTAAAATCTTGCTATCGCATGGTAAGGCAAAAAAGGCGTATGGTGTAGAAGTAGACCGAAATGGGAATACAATGACATTTTTGGCTAACTTTGAAGTCATTGTTAGTGCTGGGACAATAAATACACCCCAGTTATTAATGCTATCCGGAGTGGGGCCAAAGGAACATTTGATTTCAAAAGACATTCAGTGTAAGGTAAACTTACCAGGTGTTGGAAAAAATTTGCAAGACCACCTTATAGTACCTGTTACAATTTATGGAGATCAACCTGAAGAAACTGATACCATAAAACAATATTTCGAAAGTATACAATACCTTTACGAAAGAAAGGGTTATTTAGGAGAAACTAGTGTAACGGATGCATTAGCATTTTATTCTTTGGACAATAATGCCACCTATCCACTGTTTCAAAATCACGTCATTATATTCCCGAAGAATTCATCAAATGTGCAAATGTATTTAAATAAAATTGCAAGATACAAAAATGTTGTGACAGAGTCTGTACTTGAAAATTCGCGAAATCACGCTTTGTATTTGTTTTTGTTTAATCTCTTGCATCCAAAGTCAAATGGAGATATTCTTTTGAAATCATCTAACCCAACAGAATATCCATTAATTAATGCAAATTATTTTAACGACGCAATGGACTTGGAAGCAGCAGCTCGCGGAATTAAGAAAATAACTAAACTAGTGAACACTAAATACTTTCAATCGATTGGTGGATATCTAGGAAGAATGCGATGGCCTGAATGCGACAATTTTGAATTGGACAGCTTAGATTATTGGAAATGTATTTGTATTAACATGGTAATTACCGTTTACCATCCCGTCGGCACTGCCAGAATGGGATCAGATCCTAATACCTCTGTAGTTGACAGCCGGCTTAGGGTACATGGTGTAAAAAGTTTAAGAGTAATTGACGCCAGTGTAATGCCAAACATAACTAGCGGTAATACTAACGGTCCGGTCATTATGATTGCTGAAAGAGGAAGTGATATAATAAAAGAAGATCACTATTAATCTATAACGACATTACACTTTACGAATTTTAATATATCTTTTCGAACTTTTCAGTTTTATCTCAAACTCACGACTAATTTTTTGTCCCCTTAACGATATATTTTAGAAACACAAATTGTAAATCAAGTACATAAAAATTGTATAATAGTGTCAAGTATCAGAACGTAAATTTACTTACAAATCAGGGTAAAATTATCTAATTTACCTCGTTATTAGCACTGTTTCTTATGATTAAAATATTTACCCGTTATGGTTTTTGTACTAATTTACATCATTATTACCACTGTGCTTTGCGATTGCAATACTCGTTGTGGTAATTATGCTCTTTTTATGATACCAAGTGACGAAACAAACAAGTCACGCGCCTAATGGTAAGCGACACGCCTGTCCATAACGGTTGCAGTACCTGAGAGGTATTGCAGTACCAAAGTATCTAAGCGGTAGCTCAGAGCTTTAAACCGCAACGCTCGAGGAGCACTGTCACTGCGCAAAGATCTGATAGACATTGACACTGCGCCCGTCACTGAGTTAAGTTGACAAATCCCATGTACCTGTTATTACCAGCACCCTTCAAAAGTGCTGGAAAGCAAGAATAATCACATTACTGCTTGGCGGCAGGAATAGCTAAGGTGGCAGCACTTTAGTAGCAGCAGTTTTTTAATAGCAGTAAAGCTCCTTGTGAAAGGGTTCGTTCAGGATAGTACTGCCACCTTACCTATTTCTACCGGCAAGCAGTAATAATAATAATAATAATAATAAATCATTTATTTGGACATCTATGGCCCACTTGTTAGTAATACAAAAAGATACAGAACATTTAAACTTAAAGCTATTGTTAGTATGTACAATTTACGGGACAATACATTGACAAACACAAGAACACGTATATGCAACTTACCGCTCGAGGCGCCGATAACCTCATGATCTCACCAGAACCTGGATAAAATGTTGAAGCATAAATGTAATGTAATGTCAGCATTACTGTGTTCCGGTTTTGAAGGGTAAGGGTGCTGGTGAAATGACAGGCACATGGGACTTGTCAACTTATGTCTCAGGGGCCTAGAGGCAGTGCCCATCAGATCCTTGCGATTTAAAGTTCTGAGTGGCACTGCAACTGTTATGGACAGGCGTGTAGCTTACCATCAGGCGCACGACTTGATCGTCCTGTCACTTGATATTATAAAATATAAAAACAAAAAGCTTCCCTATGCAAACTCTTTCACAAGGGAAACTACTGCTACTAAAACTTATTTACGTCATTATTACCACGTATAACACCTTTGCATACTGTGATTGTAAGTATGGGCTCTTCGGTGGCACAGGCAGCGGTTAGTAATATGCGTACTTGACGAGGAGGTTCAATTAATTAAAAAAATGTTTTATCTGAACAGATAGTTATGTCTCGGTAGTCATATATGTTTCCTTTATAGAAGGGTTTGAAACCTGTATATCTAAAAATCTAAAAATCTGAATTAACGAATAAACATTAATTCATATTTGCTGGCCATTGTTATAATTTAATATTATATTTGTAACAATAACTTACGTTATTTACTTACAGTATTTACATTGGTACTAACCACTTTCGACCGTATTTAATTTACCTGATACATACCTATATAATTTTAGAGTTAGGTACATATATTTGTGTGTGATGTACTTTGGTGGCATGGCTTACTGGGTTGCGATCGCTCACCATATTATGGCACGGTCAGAAAACCAGCACTGTGTGGCTTTTCACGGTCTACAGTGTTTATGTAAAGTCAGGGCCATTTCAGCACAAACAGTTGCAAATAGATATACCAGTACAAAATTTTATTTTTCTCTGATAATACGTGTTTATATCAAAGTGTATTAATAATTTATATTTATGTACTTTTGTGATATACTTTATGAAGTAATGAGTGTGTGTTTTTGCTTGCATTTGAGCTGAATAAACATTTTATCTATCTATCTAAACACATTTTTTCTGGTATTGTGACGACAAAGTCACACCTAGTGGAAGACTGGCATTAGTGAACTTACGTCATAATTGTTTATTGGTCCATTGGGTACAGAAAAATATAACCAACATCCTCCTCAATTTTTCTAACTCTATCGACAATATTGGTTTAGTTATGACAAAAAACTAAAATTACTATTTACAAAATAAAACAACTATTTTCTTTTTAAAATTTTATGTCAAAAACATTGACTTACAAATAAATGGACAACGGGTCTAATACAAAAACGACGAAAAAAATGTCCCAAGTCAACCTATTTAAACGTAGTGACATGTAAAGGAATATGAAAAAGCTAAAACGTTGAATTTAAATTGTAATGGCATCGCAGTACTGTCTAATTTTGCTTGCTTCGCTGTCAGCCGAACAAACGAAGAGTAAAGCGTGAATGACGCTCTGTATACGATTTTAACGCCCTATAAGTTCGGACACTTTTTAGCGCGTACCCAACGTCCATATATTTGTAAGTCAATGGTCAAAAAACAAAAAATTCTAATGAAATATCATAACTATTAGAAATTTTATTAGGGAAGTCCCCTAACGCCGGACGGCACCTCACGTCGGACACTCGTACTATCTCCCCATCTCGCAATGCGTTCGGTCAAAAAACGGGTGAAAAGGGCGTGGGAGAACAGAGCGACACAGGATCGCGAGACGCGGTTTGTCAGTGACGCGCAAGACCAAGGTGGGAGCAGTAGATTTTTGCTTTTGGCAGGAATACTCTGCGTCACTCAAGCTCAAAGTTAGTATTACTGCTATGTTTTTGAGTTTAAGTTTTCATGGCAATTGTTATGTACGAGTATTATACGTAGTGTTCTATAAGTATTCGAAGTTTGCAAAAGTTATTGTAAATTTTTAAAGAACTTTCGCTATAAAGTACGAAATTGTAGGAATTTTATGTTCTCTAGTACCGGACCCGAAGTAGTCCCTTAACACCGGACAGTAAACACATGTGTTTTTTCCTAAGTATTTATTTATATTTTTTATAATAGCTGTTGTATGTAGTTTTAGAGGATAGAAAAACAAAGGGAACTCAAAATGGAAGACACGAAAAAGAAAGAAAAATGGGATCAATGACCATACCAAATTGCTGTTGAAGAAAAAGACAATGAAAAAAATGTTAGGGATAAAAGGAAGAATTTGGTAGAAAGTTCAGAATAGCAATATAAGAGAAAGGGTGCTTCCCAAAGAGTAAAGGGGTAAAGGCCAAAGGAGTAAAGGCCAAAGGAAAGAGTGGATACAAAGCAAAGAAAATGGAACCATTAAACTCAAATGTCTAACGTAGAAACTACCTTTTTTATGAAAAAATAAGTGCGCATTTGACTTCCATCTCATCTGATGGACGATGGAAGTGACGATGAGGTCGATGATGTAGCATGCAAATCTAAATAATGCCTGTTCACTTTCGCCTTGATATGGTCCAAATTACAGCGTTCTGCGTTCGAGGAATACGTCCGACTACTTGTGTAGTATGCTAAGAGGACCACGACAATGACTAGATGCAGTGCTCCAGCTGCCGTGGATGGGATCATGAAGTACGTGCAGACATCCCTGAATGTTCAGAAAATTACATATGCGATCGGTGCGTGATGTTTTGAAGATGTCGGGCCCTGGAGGCTTGAAGTTAAGACTGTCCAGTAATAGGTGCCATTTGCAGCTGTAGCCATTCTTGTTACCAAAGTTTGATTTATATTCTTAAGTATGTTTCTGGAGAGATTGTACTTTTTTCATATATTTTGATTCTAAAATTTAATCTATCTAATCTAGCTAGAACCAGTTTTTTCTTTAATGTCTTGTAACCTTAGGTGTCCGCCACTAGGGGTCTTTCCCTTAACTGTACAAATTCCGATATTGCATGTTGTGACATAATAGTCTTACCGCGTTAATTTACTTAAGGTTTCCTTAATTATTAACATTTTGTACTTATATTGTGTAATCACATTAAATTTCACTTTAAATTCCATAGTCACGTTGAATATTTTGAAAAATTATCTTCGTAAATAGGCTGCGTCAATTTCCCATAAAACTGTTACAGTTTGACTCGTAAATAAAATTACGTTTTTCTTCCACGAGACATTTGAAAACTTTTGGGTGCTATTTGACTTACGTCTTTCTTCCATGGAATTAGAAGAATAAGATTTATCTTAAAACGCAAATTTAAAACGTAAGTCGAGACACGCGGAACAATTAAAAAACCTTTTTGTTTTATCTGAAGTTGTGCCGTTTTTCTGGAGAGGCAAAAACGTGGCTCGTTATATATACTACTCGATTAAAAACAAACAGATTCTCGGACAGAGAATTTTGTCGAATGTGTGCCTTCATTGGATAAAAATTAAACTATTGTAAGAAAAAATATGCATACTGAATTGCTCTTTTCTTCCAATTCGGTCCATTATTGCTTTAAAAACCGACAAACCACAGCTGCTGTTAATCATCGAGATGCAGATTAGATGTTCGACAGACGCAGAGTACCTCTACTACCCCGGATATACTCTGGAGCATGTTTGTACCTCGTACCTTAGTGTGTATGTTTGCGACGACATCTGTGTCAAGAACTTCGAGGCACTGGGTTTTTCTGTTTTGTGACTTTTGATTGATACGAGAGTTACCAGAAATAGTGTAGGAGAGAGACAGAGAGAGAGTAGTGAGGAGAAGATCAAGATGTTTCCACATCTAAGTGAGACATCTGACGAGTCTCGGCACACGTTTCCGCGGCGCCGCTAGTATCCCAGGGGACTTTAATGCACACCATCAAGAAAGGTTGTTCTCATACTAAATGACCGATGATGCTAGGAGGAGATACGGGTAAACTTGCGTAAAAGCTAAGCTTTTCCCAGCTTGTCAGTAGCACCACCAGCATCCCAAATGTTGAATCTCATACAGCTAATGTATTCAAATTCATTTATTCCAAAATTTACAAAATGCATTTATGAACAATAATAAAATGTATAACCTAAAGATCAGCACAAGGCTTCGTCAATAGGTAATCTAATACAGCTAATTACTTGAATCGTCTATAAACAGTTGGTCGAGATCGATACTCCGTGGTTGTAGATCCCCAATTGGGTACTTCCGCCCATTATCTGGTGAAAGCTGTATCCGTACATTCCCCACCCGGTCAGGATCCTAATAATGATATGAGAGAGGAGTGGATATGCAGGTTAGCGGATTGGGAAGAAATACGCCATTTTTTGTGTCATATACCTGGCAGGCATGCTTTTCTTCAGGGGACTCGTCGACCTGTTCTGATGCGGTAGTCAAGGTCAAAACGTAATTTTTAGGTGTGGAGTATTAATTTCATATCATACATACTCTGAAGTACTCAATGGATTCGCTCGATTGCTGACTGTAGTTGTGTTGGAGCACAAAAA